TTCCAGTCCTTTGTGAACGAGGTGTTTCGGGACATGCTTGGTCGCGGTGTGGTGGTCTACATCGATAACATCCTGGTGTATTCCGCTACGCCCACCGAGCATGTGTCCCTGGTTCGCAAAGTGCTGGCCCGACTGTTGGAAAATGACCTTTATGCCAAGGCAGAGAAGTGTATGTTTTTCCAGCAGTCCGTCTCCTTCATCGGATACGACATTACCACGTCAGGTGTGGAGATGGAGGAGATCACATTTCAGCCGTGCGTAATTGGCCGACTCCAACCACGGTTAAGGAGGTGCAGCTCTTCCTTGGCTTTGCCAACTACTATCTGAGGTTTATCCGGGGCTTTGGCAAGGTCGCAGCTCCCATTACATCCCTGTTGAAGGGTGGGCCGTCCCGGCTCGTCTGGTCTGCTGAGGCTGACCTGGCCTTCAGGAGACTGCGGGGTCTGTTCACCTCAGCCCTGATACTGGCCCACCACGATCCATCACTACCGTTCGTACTGGAGGTGGATGCGTCCGAGGTAGGGATAGGCGCTGTCCTATCCCAATGCTCGGGCACGCCACCCAAGCTCCGCCCCTGTGCCTTCCTCTCTAAGAAGCTCAGCCCGGCGGAGCAGAACTACGACGTTGGTGATCGGGAGCTGTTGGCTGTTGTCTGAGCTTTGACCATGTGGAGGCATTTGCTCGAAGGGGCGAAACACCCTTTCCTCGTCTGGACGGACCACCATAACCTGGAGTACATCCGTGCAGCAAGGAGGCTGAATCCTCACCAGGCCAGGTGGGCCCTATTCTTCACCCGGTTTGATTTTACACTGTCATACATTCTGGGTTAGAAGAACGTGAAGGCAGACGCACTGTCCCGGCTGTATGACACAGAGGAGAGGCCCAGAGACAACACCCCCATACTCCTGGCCTCCTGCATTGTGGCGCCGGTAGTATGGGCGATGGACACAGATATAGGGCAGGCATTACACACAGATCCATCTCCACCTCAGTGTCCAGTGGACTGCGGTACGTGCCTGTTCTTATCCGTGATCATCTGATCTTCTGGACACACATGTCACCCTCCTCTGTTCACCCAGGTATCGGTCATACAGTGCGCTGCCCACGTTCACCTCCAGCGCGCCGTGTGTCGTTAGAAGGCCAACGCTGACCGTCACCGCAGTGAGGCCCCGGTCTTCGTACCGGGGGATCGGGTCTGGCTCTCGACCCGGAATCTGCCCCTCTGCCTGCCCTGCCAGAAGCTGAGCCCACGGTTTGTGGGGCCGTTCAATGTCCTGAGGAGAATCAACGAGGTCACTTATAGGTTATTACTTCCCCCTGATTACCATATTAACCCCTCGTTTCATGTGTCTCTCCTCAGGCCGGTGGTGGTTGGTCCGCTCCAGGAGTCTGAGGTGCGGGAGGTTCCTCCACCTCCTCTGGACATCGAGGGGGCCCCGGCATACTCTGTCCGTTCCATCCTGGATTTGAGGCGTCGGGTGGGGGGCCTTCAGTACCTTGTGGAGTGGGAGGGGTACGGTCCGGAGGAACGGTGCTGGGTCCCGGTGAGGGATATCCTCGATCCCTCCCTGTTGCGGGATTTCCACCGTCGCCATCCGGCTCGCCCTGCTCCGCGTCCTCCTGGCCGTCCCCGAGGCTAGGGTCAGCGCGCTGCTGGAGCTGCGCGTCAAGGTGGGGGGGGGGGGGGTACTGTCATGACTTCCGCTGAGGCTGCCTCCCATCCTTGTTCGGGCAGGCTTCGGCGTTCATCGTCACCGGCTTACTAGCCACTGCCGCTCCATTATTCATCATTCCTTGTGAGTGATTGTTTATTTGTGAGAGTAGTGTAGCTCGGTGGAGCTACTCGTACCATATTATTGCCGGGGTAGATATTTCCCCTGTGCCTGTTATTGTTGGAGCTACCGTTACCTTGTATTGCCAGGGTAGATTTTCCCCTGTGCCTTGTCGCTATCCAGCGGTATTTGTGTACAACGGAATAAACTCTGCATTCGGTGATTACCCTCCTGTGCCTGACTCCTTCTATCACACTCATCACAATTAGAGACACATATTTCCCTCAGATTCCACAGATCCACAAAGAATTTGAAAACAAACCCAATTTTGATAAACTCCCATATCTACTGGGTGAAATGCCACAGTGTGACATCACAGCAGCAATATTTGTGACCTGTTGCCACAAGATAAGGGCAACCAGTGAAGAACAAACACCATTGTGGTCCTCTGTAGCTCAGCTGGTAGAGCACGGCGCTTGTAACGCCAAGGTAGTGGGTTTGATCCCCGGGACCACCCATACACAAAAATGTATGCACGCATGACTGTAAGTCGCTTTGGATAAAAGCGTCTGCTAAATGGCATATTATTTTATTATATTATTGTAAATACAACCCATATTTATGTTTATTTATTTTCCCATTTGTACTTTAACTATTTGCACATTGTTACAACACTGTATATATACATAATATGACATTTAAAATGTCTTTGTTTTTTTGGAACTTCTGAGTGTAATGTTTACTGGTAATTTTTATTGTTTATTTCACTTTTGTTTACTATCTACTTCACTTGCTTTGGCAATGTTAACATATACTTCCCATGCCAATAAAGCCCTTGAATTAGAGAGAGAGAGAGAGAGAGAGAGAGAGAGAGAGAGAGAGAGAGAGAGAGAGAGAGAGAGAGAGAGAGAGAGAGAGAGAGAGAGAGAGAGAGAGAGAATGGGTGGGAGACATTCCACAGCATGTATTTAATGTGTTACAGAGGGGCAGTTGACTGTTAAAACAACCAATGCGAGAAAAGGAAGGAACTAGCTGATTGTTCACCTGGAGTCAGCGACTTTGGAATCACTGAGGTTATGTTTGGGTCACTCAAAAGTGAGACCCATTGTTTTCTACACAATGTCATTATTAGTACACCTGGGAGTTAACTTTTGCTATTGTGATTTGATGCACTGCATTCAAAACTATAGATGTATGAGGGCTTCGACTATGAAACTAAACAAAATAAACTAGATCTGTGTTTATGTATGTAACTGACTTGAGACCTTATCACCAGTGCTCCAGATTTAGAATTTTGATATGTAATGCGTTTTAAATCCTTTTAATTTTGGTAAGTTTATTTTACATAGCACAGTTAAGCGAGGCCATCTCTTTATATCCAAAGGTGAACCGTTTTTTTTAGAGATTTTTCTTGTGCATAGACGTGTCTGCCCTGCAGTGACCACGTTCTTAGTTCTCTATTGGCACAGCAACCATAAAAGGCCTCTCCTGCTGGGGAGACACGCAGACTGCCTCATTAGGGCATAGCATTACGCATTTCAGTCTGACCCCAAAACTTAGCCTCTCTGGGGTCCTTGCCACAGATGACCCATGAAAAAGCCTCGGTCTTGCCCCCGCAGCCAATGACCACCATATATAGGTACAAGAGAAACTATATTATAAAATATATCGGCCAACACAGATGTAAGAGTGAAAATACCAACATATTTTTGTCAATTTGGAACAGAAGAGACAATTATAGCCTACTAGGTAACATTTTGGGCTTGACAGTGAGTTCCATACCCCCCTTCATGAAAGGTGTTTATACTTTGTCAACTGTAAAATATGCTCTCTGCCTCAATGGACACTAGAAACATACAGTATCTGAGGCTTAGGAAGTCACCTTTACTGTGGAACCTGCTCACCCATTTATTTACAGAGAGATAAAGACTCATCCCATCACCTCCCTCTTTACAAACAGGGAATGATCATACTGCTTCAAGCATTGAGGGCAGTGGGAATGTGCAGCCTGTCCTCAAAGACGTAACATAGTACATTTAAATGTATGTCCCTCCAATTAGTAGGATGTGTTACATTTGCAATGGTTACATAATACAGAAGGTTACGGGAAGGATGGGTGGGCGTATAAAGCGAATGTCTAGCAGACCAAAGGTTGCATGTTCGAATCACATCATGGACAATTTTAGCATTTTAGCTAATTAGCAACTTTGCAACTACTTACTAATTTTTTGCTATTTTGCAACTAATTAGCATGTTAGCTAACCCATCCCCTAACCGTAACAGAGAGGAAGAGGTGAAGCTAGAGGGTCTACCCCCGTCAAAATATGTCCACGCGAGAATACAAAAAATCCCCACTTGGTCTGCTTATATTGGTCTGGTTATCAAGCAGACCAAGCAGACCAAGACCAAGTGGCCAGTCTTTCCGCCTTTGGGACAACGCCTCCCATTGTTAGGACGGACACAAGACCATCTCGTCATTATATACAGTATCTCTGACCCTAACCATAACCTTAACCTCTAACCCTAACCTTAACACCTAACCTCTAACCTTAATCCCTAACCCACATTCCAACTGATTGTAGATTAAGTAAATAACTCCACCTTTCCTATGGGCATTTCCTGTTGATACTGTTGTAGGTATAGTAGGGGGAGCTGAACTGTTCATGTGCATTTTGAAACAGGACACGCATCCTATACTATCAAAATATACGGCACCTTTGGATAACACATTGGATAACACATTGTTTGCATGACATTTTATTCTCTGAGGGATTCCACCACAAAGTGATATTGAAATGAATGGGAATTTTAGGGATTGAGGATTGATGTACTTTTTAGATAGATACTGCCCCATAAAGGAAAAGCATGAAACTGCAACTGATAGGTCCAAGTATTTTTACCAGCAGAGGGCACTTTTGGGGGTCCACAGAGAAAAACAGACGGGGTTCGCCTGTTGTCTTTCCCTTTTCAAAGGGACCAGCTACCCATGTCTGAGCAGGCAGTGTACTTGTTAACAGACTCACAGACGTGCCTATGGGACTGCAGCCACAGGACGCAGAGAGAGAGTTCCCCAAGCTTCAGCATCCCACCACGGATTGGCATCTTCTTCTCCTCTCCTAAATGAACTTCTGCTGAGGGGCCTCATTTTTACCACGTCTCCTGCAGTGATCAAAGCTGGCAAGTTTTCGAATTGAAAGAAAAGCCACTTTTCAGGCTACTCATCTCACGATGATTCCCTTTATTTCATTGGTGATACTATTGACTGTGTGGGCTTCCGATGCAAAAAAAATTCCACAGACAAACAGTGCATCTGTTGAAAAGGATATGTCAAATCTCGACATTCAAGTCATTCAAAGCCATGGTTATGGCGATGAGGATGTAAAACAACTGCAATTTGACAAGCAGCACAAGAGAGCACCACGGGCCGCAGAGATCACAGACACAGACGCAGGTGAACCTCAGTCTACCTTCTCACAGTCTTATGAGAATGAGTTCTTCACCACACCCAGAGCCACCCAGTTCTCTAACTCAACCCTAGACACTGGAGCCACTGGGGCCAACACAGATGGGGACCAGGGAAATACCAGCACCACAGAGAGGGGCATCACCCACATCCACAACCCTCTGTACCCAGTGACTGACAGCTCCTACACTGCCTACGCTGTCATGTTCCTGTCTCTGGTGGTGTTCGCTGTGGGGATTATAGGGAACCTGGCTGTGATGTGCATTGTCTGGCACAACTACTACATGAGGAGTGCCTGGAACTACATCCTGGCCAGCCTGGCTTTCTGGGATTTCCTGGTGCTCTGCTTCTGTTTACCTGTGGTGGTCTTCAATGAGCTCACCAATAAGAGGCTGCTGGGGGACATCTCATGCAGAGTGGTACCATATATGGAGGTGGGTTTGATTCCCTTCCCACACCCCTCCCCTTTCGCCATGGTGGAATCAATGTAGCCTTGTATGAAAATGATTAATGAACATGGCTATGATTCTGAGTCCCCAATGACACGTTTAGTACCTGTTGTTGCCTAAAACAACCCTCCATTTATTTTCTTGTTCTTTTGACAATGTCATTATTAGATATTTACTCTGATTTATGACATTGTTGCAAATCAGCCAGTAAAATAAGCTTATGGGTTGAATAATGTTTATGGGCCACATAGTATTGTGAAATGTAAAATGTTGTAAATGTTTAAAACTTTTACCAATGTAATATTTATAGTACAATTGTATGGTTATCCAAATTTTCTTAACTGATTATTGTTTGCTAATAAACAACAAATGACATAGTTGTATGTAAGCCATGCATTTTATGTACAATTGTATCTTGTCAAACTACGATACAAACTCATAATTATATATCTCTAAAGCTAATGTAACAGGTTGGAAAGACTGCTTCCATATTGAAACTGTTCTCTAATTGAAATGTCCAATGAAATACTCTCCTCTCTTTGATCTGTTCTCTGGGATGGGTCATTTGTGAGTGATGGGTTCATAGTCTTAACGGGATATTTCTAGTTCCAGTGACATTCTGCTATAAAACCATGCTGTTAATAAATGGTGTGTGCAAGGTGTGAAAACATTTCTCTCATTCCATCCACATTTGTAGGTCAAAAGATCACAACTGTCATACAAAAATAAGCATCTGTAGTAATGATTTTGCAGAAGCAACAGCACGCCATGAAAATTCTAGCATTGCTAACAAGTTTAACTTCATTTAACCCTCCAGGTGACTTCCCTAGGGGTGACTTCCTTCAGCCTGTGTGCCCTGGGTATCGACCGCTTCAATGCTACCACTAGCTCCCAGCCCAAGACCCGGCGGATAGAGCGCTGCCAGTCCGTCCTGGCCAAGCTGCTGGTCATCTGGGTGGGTTCCATGGTGCTGGCGGCCCCAGAGCTGCTGCTATGGCAGCTCAGCCAGGCCGTGTCTCCAGCCACGGGGGCCTTGATGGACTCCTGCACCATGAACCCCACCACCAACCTTCCAGAGTCCATCTACGCCCTGGTCATCAACTACCACGAGTGCCGCATGTGGTGGTACTTTGGCTGCTACTTCTGCCTGCCCGTGGTCTTCACCCTGCTGTGCCAGCTGGCCACCTGCCACGTGTCCCATGACAGTATCCCTGAGCGTCTGGAGGAGCGCTCCCCCTCCAAGAAGCAGAAGATACAACACAACCAACAGGTGGAGCGCCAGCTCAACTGCACCGTGATAGCCCTGGCCGTGGTCTACGGTGTCTGCGCCCTGCCAGAGAACGCGTGCAACATCGTTCTGGCATATACCGCCATGCCCATCTCTGAAAACACTGCCACCTTGCTGGCCCTCATCAACCAGTTCTTCTTGTTCTTCAAGTCGTCGGTGACGCCGCTGCTGCTGCTGTGCCTCTGTAAGTCCCTGGGCCAGGCCTTCATGGACTGCTGCTGCTGCTGCTGTGAGGAGTGCCAACCCGGCAGCTCCTCTTCCCCTGGCACTGAGGCCAAACTCAAGAGCACCAACGAGATGTCCTCCTCCATCTTCTTTGACAAAGCCAAGGACAGCTCCACCATCCTGTCGATCAGCGGGTCCAGCTGAACTGGCTTCTCCTGCCTGTCTTTTTTCCCCCATCCTATCACCTAACCTGATTAGATGTGGTAACAAAGCAACTCACCTTTCAGCAGTGAACATTCCAACCTCAACCTCACCCCACTTTCCTCCCCAGGCACACCACACAGGGATCAGATGCTGGATCTCTCCTCCATGGACACACCTTTTCATTGTTATTAGTCAGAGGACTGGGACCATTGTCAGTGCCACCTTCTCTGTATCCTTAAAGTCTGTAATGTCTCTCCAAATAGAGACCACACCCATCCAGTTTTAAGACTGACTAAGTGCAGATTAGGAGAAGAGCTCCATTTAATATCTTTGTAGAATTGTCACCCCAATGTTTTTATTCTAAGGATTATTAGATGAAGCTAAACTGAGTATTATGTTAGATTATTATGATAGCTTTGACTAACTAACATTCCCTTGGAGCCCCAGAGTGTGGGGCACTGAGATAATAATTTTTGATGTCACAGCCTATTTACATATCTGTTAAACAATGTGTGTTCGCTCTCTAGCCAACACAGACAAGTGTGCCATATAATTTTCTTCATGCCCCCCCCCCCCCCCCCCCCCCCTCAAACTCCAGATGGAGCTACTTCATCTTCAGCCATCCTGTGTCATTGTATACATTATTACTTTGAGTTTTATTAATAATGAAGAGAGATGGTTAAGCCATAGTAATTTCCATCAAATCAAAGTGCTGTGAATAATAAAAAAATATTTGACCAGATAATCATGAAAAGTCACTGTACAGAGGTCAAGGTTATTAGAAGGTTAAGAGGGAAGTCAGACATAATTTTGTGAATAAGAGAAAAAAAATGTTCTGAGATGTAAATCCACCGGCTGTAGTGATGTTAATTTATCCAATAAAGGTTTATAATTGATCACCGCTTGTCATTTTTCTCCTAGAGAGACTTCAAAAAAGTTAGTTTAAAAATGTGTAACTGATTGCTCAACCAGCTGAAGGGATTTTGGGGGATTAGTGGTTGACTGAGCATCCCATTGACCCTCTGAAACTCAATAATGGGGTCCTCCCTCTGAGCTGGAGCATATTTTTCCTCTCACTAATTCAGGCTTTGGACAGCAGCAGAGCTGCTCTCATAAGGGTATCATTGTTCTCCAGGGGCCGATGGAACCCTACACTCTGAATATCAATGCCCTGTAACTACAGTTTAGTTGCCAGGTTACCGTCCCAAAATTCACGTGTATTGCAGACTGGCCAAAGCCAGGCAGGCTTTCCACCGTTTTCTCACCCTGTCTGGTTCCCCTGGAAACAGGGGGTTTTAACTGTCCAAATCAAAATGGGGTGCTGCTGCATGTTCTCTAATGTTGTGGTGAAAGTTAGAAAGAAAATGAATGATATAGAAATGTTTCTAATTTGTTTAATTTCACTTTTTTTTAAATGGAGATGGACAAGGGCTTGGTGACATTATCATTTTCTGATGGATGGGGTAGGTTCAATCAGAGATCACCGCCACAGCACAGACACCAGGATTCTGTAATATTTTTTTCCAACATACAATGAAACTCAAGCAAACCTGATTGGAAAGCATATCAAAAGATCACCTGTAAGCCAATAGGGCCTACCAATAACCAATGGTGATTGACTTAGAAGTCAGTGTGAATCTGCTGAGACAGTCTGGTTCCTTAAAAGATGCACTGATTGAAGGGGTTAGACAGAGGAGGGTATTTTTTCGGGGGGTTGACCTCTTTAGAGTTTCTCTCCCTGGGTCTTGGAGCCTGTTCAGAGGCTGTCAGGGCCTGGGCAGATGACTGTGAGAGAGAGAGAGAGGTGCTGGAGCCTCATTAGCAGTGAGCACAGAGCTCTTCAGCTCCCCTGGCCACTAATGACTGCACAGTTAACAGTCCACTCTCTGTTTCCTTAATGAAGCCACCAACACAAATCAACAGACAGCCCCTGTCACAACATCCAACGCCAGTCCACTAATATACAAGGACTGAGGGAGAGGGACGGTTTATGAAGCACTGCAACAGGTGAATAAATAGAATGAGTCCTTCCAGGATGAAAAGTTGACTGTACATGATGACATACCAAGCTGGCATCACAAGCAGAAATAGGATAGAAGGTATCAACATAGATCAGAACATATTATGTACTTGTACAAGCCCGAGATCTTGGCTCATTTGATTGATAAGTACATGGCTGAATACGAAACTATTTCAGTTTTCCCCTGCATTGTCAGATTACTGCAAACATGAAATGCTAAGCATGAAGTAATTGTGGAGAAATCATTGGTATTATATTTGTGAAACACAAAAGACAAGAGTGCAGAAATTTAAATGGACCTATTTTCTGCCACTGCCAGTGTGTGCTATTTGTGTGCAAGCTTGTAATACTGTAATACTTATTTCACATAGGATTCGCAGTATGTTGCCTGTAAAAACAATTGGGCAATGTTCATATGATCCCCTTTCAAACAGCCCCATCTTTACCTCTTTCTTGTGGGCATTCACCTTTTATATAGACATTACTTAGATGGCAATTGAGGAAGAGACATTCAACTTTTACCTTGTTGTTGTGACCTTTGCAAAAAATAGAGCAGGTAATGTTGCTATTTTGGCCAGACTGCCGTTTTGATTATACTTTTTCATAATGACAATGACAAGTTGAGGAAGGAGAAGAACAATAAAATGGTCATGGTTTAATACGTGCCAAAGCAGGTAAGATGATAGGGGACATTTATACTGAGGAGTTTTAAACATATTATCGCAATCATGACTAGGTCGGTTGGCGGAAATAAACATACAAGCTTTGTTGCCGGCAATACCTTTCAGATATAAGGAAAAGTTGGCACAAAGTTGGCGGCATGCTAAAGTTGGCAGCAAAACGTCTTGGTTTGAAAGGTGTATATGAGAGTGCTTGATTGTTTTCAGACTGTGAATGGCTCTCATGGCTGTCTCAGACACTCTCATGGTGCATGTCCTCTTTGGGTTGGCTCAGTGAACGCAGACTAATATGACCTGAATGTCCCCACTTATGAACACAGAGCTGCCTCACCTCCCCCTAATGCGGGAACAATGTTTGTTTTGTTCTGTGGGAATACTGACGATGGTGGGGGGGGGGGGAGCTCTCAAAACTATTCACCCCTGTTGTCATGGCAGAGGCCTGACAGAGAGCCTTGGCCCTCCGAGAAACACAAACTGATCTGAATCAGAGAGGTTGGCGCGGATCCCGAGCACCAACGTCCATACACACACACACACCGGTCCGCTCCGGACCCCAGGCTTCTATAGCCACCGGACCACCTTGTTTTCTCTGGACAGCAAGTCCTGGTCAGCCTCATTATAGTGTGCTGTGATGCCAAGGAGGGACACAAACAGAACTTGTCACAACTCGTTCGTATTCATGGCCAATGGCGGTTAAACCCAGAGAGGAAGGAGAGTAGAGAGGGAAGTAACTTCTTTTCAGCTTTAGTCTGGCCCGTTCTGAGATCACCGCTTCCATAGTACCTCTCTGGTCCCCACAATCTCTCCCCTCTTTGGGGTCTGGGTGGTTGGGAAGCCCTCCAACTTATTTACCACATTGGTGCTGAGATTTGCCATACACAAAGGCATTACCCACTTGTTGAAAATCAGTTCTGGGAAAGGGGGTGAGAAAGATTGTGTTATGGGGGGAGAAAGCGCTCCCCTTAATTGTGTAGTGTACGCACGTTAGAGCCTGCCTGCTGTTTTAGGTATAGAGTTATTGGTTTACAAATCCCTCTTCCATACCAGCGTTTGACTAAATCTAAAATGGCAATTTTTGCATAATTAAATATACAGAGAAAAAATACACAAAAACAACAGATCTCTAAAATCTATTATTTGAAACTAAAAGTGCTAGTCAGTGGTATTAGTTTTCCACAGGGCAGCATTGTGTGCAACATACATAACTAATACAATGATACAACATAGTAGCCTGCTCACCATGCTGCTAGGCTAAATAAATACTGCAGAAGTGGATCATCTCCAAGTGACAGTCCTGAGGTTATTAACCATGAATCCTGCTAAACGTCCTTCTATCATTAGCAAATTGCCCCCAGAATACTCATTATAACACTATGGCAACAACATCTGAAGTAGTTTAGACCACACACATACAAATGTAGACCATGTATGTGTTCAGAATAGTTTTAGAGGGATTGACTGCCTTAGTCTACTCTCAATCAACCAGAAAGGACCTGCAACTGGGAAGCTACTGCCCCCTGCTGTTCACAAGCTTCATGTAGGTAGGCTTGGATCTTCCCTTAAGGAAATCCTTTACACACACAAACACGAGGTAAAAGTTGGCGGAGGTCCTGCTATTTTCCTCATTGACTGAAGTGATTAGAAATGAGAGGCACTTTTCCTCAGGTTGTGAAGAGTGCCGTGGCATGGACCTTTAATGAGAGCAACAGAAACACTAACTTTCTCCCACATTGACTCTTTCATACACATGAAACAGACAGACAACACCACATGTAAAGCACCGACCATCATCCCAACAACCCAAAGCCACAGTGAGATGCTATACTGTTTGGCAACAATAACCATATGAATTCTGCAGACCATGTATAAAGTTGTTTTCACCATTGTTTTTAGTTAGTATCATACACAAGCATGTCCTATTAAAAACACAACCATCAACTTAATTGAAACAATAATGTACAAACATGTTAACACAGATACAGTATTTACTATTATTTGCCATAAAAATAACCATTTATAGTTCATTCTCAAAGGTCCCACAAATACTTATGCCCAAGCATGCAAACAAATAAGTTAAGATATTTTGTTGCTGTTGTCAATAATCAACAATTACTTAGGTAATGTTGGCCATGTAGGATGCAAAATAATTCATAGACATGTAAGTTTAGTTTATACAAAATTAGATAGAAGCCTTCATCGTTAGTTCATATGGCTGGCACCTGTAGAATCTCAATTTATCTAGTGGACTTCTTTATCAACAGCCACAGAATAACAGATTTTACATTTTATAATGGGTTATTCATGACTCGTGATGAGACAAAAACTGGCCAAGTAGTATCTGTACATTACTGGGTAGAAATTAGCTATTACATGATGATATAAATCAATGGTAAGAAAGGGGAAAGAATATACAAAAATCAATAAATATATATTTTGTTTGTAAACCATGTGTTGCAGATATTGCTTGAACATTGACATGGCTAATGAAAATGTAACTGGCCATGTTGCTAAGTTTAATGAACCTGGCTGCTGTTTCTAAAGTAACAGAAGAGTGTCAGCACAACAGATAAAGAAGATGACATATAACGCAAATGTATATATAGATATATATTGACATTAGAGATTACATCGCGGGTACTCTTTAACAACACCTACCATTAGCCTTTAAAAAATTAGAAATGGAGATACTTGTGCACACTCCAAGTATTTGAATCAAATGGTGTAATGATCCCCCTTCAAAAAAGGTACATACAGTGGGGGAAAAAAGTATTTAGTCAGCCACCAATTGTGCAAGTTCTCCCACTTAAAAAGATGAGAGAGGCCTGTAATTTTCATCATAGGTACACGTCAACTATGACAGACAAAATGAGAAAAAAAATCCAGAAAATCACATTGTAGGATTTTTTATGATTTTATTTGCAAATTATGGTGGAAAATAAGTATTTGGTCAATAACAAAAGTTTCTCAATACTTTGTTATATACCCTTTGTTGGCAATGACACAGGTCAAACGTTTTCTGTAAGTCTTCACAAGGTTTTCACACACTGTTGCTGGTATTTTGGCCCATTCCTCCATGCAGATCTCCTCTAGAGCAGTTATGTTTTGGGGCTGTCGCTGGGCAACACAGACTTTCAACTCCCTCCAAAGATTTTCTATGGGGTTGAGATCTGGAGACTGGCTAGGCCACTCCAGGACCTTGAAATGCTTCTTACGAAGCCACTCCTTCATTGCCCGGGTGGTGTGTTTGGGATCATTGTCATGCTGAAAGACCCAGCCACGTTTCATCTTCAATGCCCTTGCTGATGGAAGGAGGTTTTCACTCAAAATCTCACGATACATGGCCCCATTCATTCTTTCCTTTACACGGATCAGTCGTCCTGGTCCCTTTGCAGAAAAACAGTCCCAAAGCATGATGTTTCCACCCCCATGCTTCACAGTAGGTATGGTGTTCTTTGGATGCAACTCAGCATTCTTTGTCCTCCAAACACGACGAGTTGAGTTTTTACCAAAAAGTTCTATTTTGGTTTCATCTGACCATATGACATTCTCCCAATCCTCTTCTGGATCATCCAAATGCACTCTAGCAAACTTCAGACGGGCCTGGACATGTATTGGCTTAAGCAGGGGGACACGTCTGGCACTGCAGGATTTGAGTCCCTGGTGGCGTAGTGTGTTACTGATGGTAGGCTTTGTTACTTTGGTCCCAGCTCTCTGCAGGTCATTCACTAGGTCCCCCCGTGTGGTTCTGGGATTTTTGCTCACCGTTCTTGTGATCATTTTGACCCCACGGGGTGAGATCTTGCGTGGAGCCCCAGATCGAGGGAGATTATCAGTGGTCTTGTATGTCTTCCATTTCCTAATAATTGCTCCCACAGTTGATTTCTTCAAACCAAGCTGCTTACCTTTTGCAGATTCAGTCTTCCCAGCCTGGTGCAGGTCTACAATTTTGTTTCTGGTGTCCTTTGACAGCTCTTTGGTCTTGGCCATAGTGGAGTTTGGAGTGTGACTGTTTGAGGTTGTGGACAGGTGTCTTTTATACTGATAACAAGTTCAAACAGGTGCCATTAATACAGGTAACGAGTGGAGGACAGAGGAGCCTCTTAAAGAAGAAGTTACAGGTCTGTGAGAGCCAGAAATCTTGCTTGTTTGTAGGTGACTAAATACTTATTTTCCACCATAATTTGCAAATAAATTCATTAAAAATCCTACAATGTGATTTTCTGGAAAAAAAATTCTCAATTTGTCTGTCATAGTTGACGTGTACCTATGATGAAAATTCCAGGCCTCTCTCGTCTTTTTAAGTGGGAGAACTTGCACAATTGGTGGCTGACTAAATACTTTTTTCCCCCACTGTACATGTACAGTACCAATTCAGTTGGGCACTGTCGTTGGGAAGTGATAAGACTTGGTCTATGGTCTGAGACTTATATTGTTTAAAATTTGATATCAGTGTGGTAAACTTGACTTTGGGGCTGTTAATTGATGTAGTGTTCAAACTCCATAGTCTTTTCTACCTATTGGAAGCAGAGGTTACGTACAGCACAGTACTCTGCCCTGTCTCCGGATCAGTTGAATATGAACCTCAATATCAACAGAGATGATGAAGCATGAGATATTAACACAATTATATTTTTCTTTTCAGGGCAGTTAAGTACCACTTTATCCATCAGAGGTCATATGTCACTAGAATAAGTATTATATTACAAAAAAAGAAAATGAACAGTGCAAGTAAAAGGTTTCCAGGCTCTCTTCAGGAGAGTGGGATCAGGCGAGGGCTCTCGGCGAGAGAGGGCCATCTAAAGAAAAGAGGGGGAGAAAGGACAAGCTGGGGAGGATAGAGGACAGGGCGCAAGGGACCTGGGACATGTGCAGGCCTGTGGGGTGGTCTCAGGGCTGTGTCGGTGAGATGAGGTTCTCATGATGTGCTCCGCTTGATTCTGGAGTGCTGGATCAGCCACTGTAGGGTTATATCTGGAGGTAAAATAACAAATAACAGAAGTTTAAATGCCATGAAATAAATAATGGAAATAACAAGTCATAAAGTCGTCAGATACCAATGTTGTCCTTTTCCTTGCAGGAGATGGAGTAACAGCAGATCTCTCTGTCCTGGATGGCCGAGAGGTTCCTGTGGACCACAGAACAGCCATGAGTATCACTCATTCTCACCCACACACACACACACACACACACACACACACACAGCTGGTGCTTACATCCTCTCAATCAGCTCTTTCTCATCGAGCGCCCCAGGAAGATCTCTCTTGTTCCCCAAGACAAGAACCTGTGAGGGGGAAACAATATGGAGAGTTGGACAAAGTCAAAGTAATATGAATATATGCCATTTAGCAGACGCTTTTATCCAAAGCGACTTTGTCATGCGTGCATACATTTTACGTACGGGTCGTACCAGGAATTGAACCCACTATCCTGCATTGCAAGCGCCATGCTCTAACAACTTAGCTAGAGGACCACAGTGAGGAAATGTAAGCAATTAGGCCTACTACTGTAGCTACTAGATCAGCAAACTCTGTATGGGGTACTCACAGGAATACCCTGGAGCTGGGGCTTGTCCAACAAGTTGTGTAGTTCATTCTTAGAGGCCTCGATCTTCTCTGGGTCTGCTGCATCAACCATGTATCTTTAAAATGATATGGTTTCAAAAGTTTGAATAAATATCCTCTTTGAAATGGACAACCAATATAATTGACCACCCCAAGCACAAGGGTATAGGGGGCCATGACTGAGTCAGAGCTGTTACTCACACAATGGCACTGACTCCTCGGCAGTATCGCTCCCACATACTCCTGAATCGAGGCTGACCGCCGATATCCCACAGCTAGAAAAGCAAGGGATCAAAGCTAATCAGTTTTGAACCTTTCACAATTAATAAAATAGCTTCAGTGAGTCACACTCAATCCCAGAGACCATCCAAGACCCCCCTAAATACTTAATTATCCTCTCTCTGGAGCAACCAAGTGATGAATCAAGTATGACCATTAAGTGGCCTGACCCCTGTCCTCTGACCTTGATGGTGACGTTTCCCTTGGTGATTTTCCTCATGTTGAAGCCCACTGTGGGAATCATGTCTTCACTGAACTGGCCTGACTGGAAGGGGTTAAGAATAGAGGTGGGTTACAGATTAAGTTATATTTAATCATCTGGCAAATACTGTTTGTAATATTGCTAGGACTTCAATTGTGAAATATATATATATTTTTTTTTTATGATCATGTCGCTCATAAAACTGACCCTAGTCATTTCAGGAAAGGATACTATAACTATATAAAATGGATATGACAACAGAAGCTAGCTAACGTTAGCTAACGGCTGAGCGAGCAAGCGCTTGCATCCGTGGAGTACGAGCAGACATCTCGATCTGTTCCAACAACAAGGACACAACATCAGATCAAATGACAGCAGTATAAATGATTGACCGTACCGCAATCACGTTTACGAAGGTTGTCTTGCCCGAATACTGTAGTCCCACCAATGTCAACTCCATCTCCTCCTTCCAAAACAGTGCTTTAAACCAGTCAAGGAGCTTGTTGAACAATGCGATCATTTTGGGAGCGTTGTGATAGCACTGGCTGCTACTACTGGGGAACGGGAACTTGCTAGCCAGCTAGCTAACGTTAGTTACAATTTGCCTAGCTAACGATATCTAGCTTGCAGTGACAACACAGTACATACAGAACGATTCACTAACGGTCGAATACCTTGCCTATAACGAATATTCGCTAAATAATATGTTTTGTGCGCACGTGTTGGCTATATTATTTTAGGTATTTTTCAGTTATCTGCCTTGTTTACTATGCCTATTTCCTCCCTGTCTGTATTTTCCTATAAGGGTTGTCCTTCCTCATTGGGTGGGGTTTCAGAATCACGCAGAAAGAGGAGTGCTCAATAAAGAGGGTACTCAGCGCAAATGAGGCTCAGGCTTCACGAGACTTGCCCTCTGCTGGAGAGAAGGAACATAAATAATAATAATATAATATGCCATTTAGCAGACGCTTTTATCCAAAGCGACTTACAGTCATGTGTGCATACATTTTTTTAACGTATCATCACCGAGCGCGTATGTATTATTTTTTTTATTTTTTTTACATACCAACATGTATTGATCAATAATGAAATAAACCTGGAACCTGGAAAAACATAAAATAATAATAACCTACTATATGAATTTCCTCTTCAGCAGGTCAAGTGAATTGCAGTTAGAGCTAATTAGAGTCAAGGACATTATGCATAGTACTTTTTTTATTATCATGGTAGCAAATATGGACAATATGATTATTAATGACTTTCAATAAAATTCCAACCGCATGGTATGGTGAGTACCACATCACATGCCCATAAAAATGCCACAATCAATGTCACGGTCAAGAGGATGAGATGGCCACAGTGTGTGAGCAGAGTTCCAGGAGCTTGTTCCCCCATGCGGAAAGATCAAGTTTTAGCTGGGCTTTCTCGGTCACCGCATGTCCCCTGTAGTACTGCTGGTCTGGACAGGGACAGGGCTCTTTGAGCCACTGTCTGTGTTCGCCAGCTGCCGACTGTACTGAGCAAGGGTGAGGTACAGGAACTGATACTGCTCACTGGTCTGGATCATGCCACCCCTAAAAACACAGAGAGGGAGAGCGTGAGGGAGCAGCATCCTTTAGGGCAGCATCCCCAAACTCGGGATGATGTCTAAGAGTCCCTATGACTGCACCATTTTCTTCATAACTCAAGACAAATATAAAATGCTATGTTTGAACCAAGGTGCTCACTTGATAATAGTAAAGATGCTCACTTGATCAAATCAAATTGTATTTGTCACATGCGCCGAATACAACAGGTGTAGTACACCTTACAGTGAAATGCTTACTTACAAGCCCTTAACCAACAATGCAGTTTTAAGAAAGAATACCAAAAAAAAATCACAAAAAAATACAATATAAAATAATACGAAATAAAAGTAACAAATAACTAAAGAGCAGCAGTAAAAATAACAATAGCGAGGCTATATACAGGGGGTACCGGGGTTAGTCGAGGTAATTGAGGTAATATGTACATGTAGGTAGAGTACATATAGGTAGCAGCAGCTACTATTAATTTATTAATTGTGATAGTTTACATGATAAGTAACAGAGTTTGGTTTAAACTTGCTTGTCACGTTAGTTCCAAGTTTGAATGTCACATGCACAAGTACAGTGAAATGCCTTTCTTGCAAACTCAAAGCCCAACAATGCAACAATCAATGTGTATTACTAGAAACAGTGTATTACTAGAAAAAAAACCCACAAGAAATAAGAATGAGAAATATGAAATACACAATAAAGTAAGTAAGTAAGCATGCTATATACAGGAAATATTTTAAAAGTCAGTTTCAATACCATATTTACATGTGCAGGGATACCGGAGTGATGGAAGTAGATATGTATAGGTGTAAGGTGGCAAGGCAACAGTTTTCTACCAACAGCAGGGCGGATGGCCAAAGTGTGTGTAGTGGCTAGTACCTGTCGAGGCGTAGCTTACAGACGATTCCAAGCACATCAGCCCTACTACTGTGTTGTAGCTGCAGGCATCCAATGCTGCTGGCGATGAAACAACCTGTTCTCCCAATCCCTGCACTGCAAAACAGAGCACATGAGATCATGTCAAATAGAGCTGTAACGTTCAAACTTCTGTCATACAATGTATTTATACTTTATACAGTCTCTCTGCTACAGTATCTGCCAGCAATACACAGTCCAAATGTACAGTATACTGTATATCACAACACAAACGGAATTCCATAGCAGTCACCTTTGTCATCAGTAAGTGAATTCAAGCCAGTCTCCATAAATCATTTCTGAGCCTAATTCTGACTGACATGGAATGTGAAAGGAGCCTCCCTAAGGTGTCGTAACATATAAATGTGCTGGAAGTGAGAACCGTTCAAGTAGCCTAGGGCTATTTTCTTTTCTAGGACATTCTATCATACGTCATTGTTTGTTCTTTCACATTTATCATAGTGATAGCTAATGAGAACCAGTGTTAAGGGGTGTGCTAGTGGGACCTGCAGTGGACGATGGTGGGTCCTGGGCTGGGGATGGACTGCCTGTGTTCATTCACGTCCACCACCAGTCTGAGCAGGGGCCCAGTGCAGTCTGGGGTCTGGTGGTCTGGCCATGTGGAGTACCAGTAGTGTCTCACCTGCCTGTTCTCTGAGCCCACCTGTCAGACACATTGTTGTTAGTAAGTTCTTTGGTTCATTGGTTCATTCATTCATTCATTCATTCATTCATTCATTCATTCATTCATTCATTCATTCATTCATTCATTCAATCATTAATTCAGAAGTTCTGAGGTTCTAAAACTAGTGTAACCCAGCGCTTTGACTGGCATTACTTTACAGTTTACAGATGATAATAACCTACTATCTCACCTGTATAATCATGTCTCGAATGGTGTAGCTATCACATTCTTTCACAATGGACACTCTGACCTCAAATCTGCCATAGCTGCCGTCCTTCTCTGGCCAGTAAAGCTCACACTTCTGAAAAACAGGACACACTCTTTGTAGACTTTAGACTTAAACATCAATATGTCTGTCATCGGAAACCATTGAGGAAAGCAATGGAGGTGGAATATAATTGACATTTCCCTTTCACCTCGTTCTTCTCCTTTAGCTTGGTGATCATGACAATGGTGGTGGATCCCTCCTGCCACACCATCTCCCAGAAGTCATGCACTGTGTTGAGCATGGGGCCCTGGGTGGCGATGTAGGCACTGGGTGCACCGTTGTAACCCTGCGTGGGAGACAGCAAGAGTTGGGGCTGTGTAGTTAGTTTCCACTTTGACTTCCTGTGGGTTTCATTGGTTGACATGATACACCCACGCAAACCAACCGTATCACTCTTAACATCATTAAAGGGGCAATCTACAGTTGCTACATCCATTTTTGGACTTATAAATTAATTATATGTACCGATTGATTTTTGAAGAATATAACTTATAAATGCCTCATGAGCTTAGTTCAACTGTCGTACCCTCTTAGAAAAAAGGGTCATTTTTGTTTCTAGGTAGAACCCTTTTGGGTTCCATGTAGAACCCTCTGAGGAAAAGGTTGTACATGGAACCCAAAAGGGTTCTACCTGGAACCAAAAAGGGTTCTTCAAAAGGTTATCCTATGGGGAAAGCCGAAGAACCCTTTTAGGTTCTAGATAGCACTTTTTTTCTAAGAGTGTACCCCATCAGAACCCAAAATATAAGCTTGTTTCACTCCAATGTTTGTAAACAAAGTAAATGTACACAAACATTGTATAGCCTCAAAACATGATTAAAACTATAATTTTGATCTCATGGATGGTCAGTACTTGCATCCATAGCGCTGTCTATGAATTTGAGAGTGGTTACATTTCTCCAGCCTCATCCCTCAGCTGTATTGCAAAACAGTAGTGGGGAGTACGCTTTGTTATTGTTTCAACTGCTGATTGCCGCTTTAACAACACTGTGCAGTGTGTATTCTTGACTTTCTCCTCACCATTTGTATGACTCTTACTTTAAGTTCGCATGACACAGTTGTGTCAAAAATGGGCCAATAAAGAAAGTGGCTGTAATAATGCATGATTCTAACCTTTATGTAGTTTGCATTGATGTATCTCTCAGTCTCACCCCCTTCCTCTGCTGCGGGGTTCTTCAGACACACACGGGTCTCAGGATCTGGTTAACATGATTATAGTGTTTACATTGGTTATTTTATATTGCCTGGGTGCCAGTGTGTTTCAGCATTCATCAACTATTTCTAATACTTGACATTTGACTTAGGCACTCACTTGGCAGTATGGTCTTATATCTGTCTTTTAAAGCACGTCCTGGGATGTCCAGCTCTGCAGGGTTGACAAAGTTTGGAGGAATCTTCTGTTGGAAAGAATGGACAGGCTAAGGGGCCAGATTCCACTTGATCCTACATGCAGTCAATCTCTGCACATACAGTACAATTAGAGTAGATATTAACCTGGTACTCTGAGTTCAGCCTGCTGGTCTCGTCAGATGCCTCCTGCAGCTGAGCGGGGGTCAGAGGGCGTGTTGAGGTCCTCAGCAGGTGGAGGATGGTCTCTCTGGGGGTGGAGATAGAGCACAAGGGCTCCACCGCACACAGGCTGAGACTGCTCACGTCCAGCACTAGGGACACATTGGAGCCCCGTCTGAGGATATATGGAACCACAGAGAGGACAAAAAGGTCAGGAACCTTGTTGAATAAATATAATGACAGTACTGTTGATTATCATGGATGTCTCTCTACCTCTCCTGGAGCTGGACTGGTTTGCGAGGAGCTGTGGCAGTAGGGCAGGGGAATGACTGTTCTTGGTCCACAGGTTGTGATGATGATGGGGATTCTACTGACTCACTCATGGTGGTGTGTGGAACGACTGGGAGGTTTAGAAGGATACCATACAACCATACTCTACTGACATCTGCTCATAGAGTGAAAACAGACCTGAGAGAGAGATAGAGAGCGAGAGTAGTGAACTACATGTAGTTCAACTAGTAATTTAACTACATTTTTTAGAATCTAGGTAGTCTTTTCAGTATTTAATTACTTGTTTTTGCCATGTAGTGGTATAGCTACAGTAACTACTGGAACTACACACTACCTTTCTTGCAAAAAGAAGAGGAAATATGGGTGAAGTAGGCAATCATTTCCAGCATCAGACCTGCCTATTTGTCACTTGAAACATTGTTTTTGTGTTTAAATTACACATTCTGTTAACATATGACCCCAAAGTGATCTATTCTTGCAATTTATAGTCTATGACAGGGATCATCAACTAGATTTAGCCGCAAGCCGATTTTTTCTTGAGCGGATGGTCAGGGGGCTGGAACATAATTACAAATAATTTGTAGACTGCAAATTGACTGCAAGAAGCTCAAACATACAGTACCAGTCAAACGTTTGGACACACCTGCTCATTCCAGGGTTTTTCTTTATTTTTACTATTTTCAACATTGTAGAATAATAGTGAAGACATCAAAACTATGAAATAACACATATGGAATCATGTAGTAACCCAAAAAATTGTTCAACAAATCAGATTCTTCAAAATAGCCACCCTTTGCCTTGATGACAGCTTTGCACACTCTTGGCATTCTCTCAACCAGCTTCATGAGGTAGTCACCTGGAATGCATTTCAATTAACAGGTGTGCCTTGTTAAAAGTTAATTTGTGGAATTTCTTTCCTTCTTAATACGTTTGAGCCAATAGTTGTGTTGTGACAAGGTAGGGGTGGTATACAGAAGATAGCCCTATTTGGTAAAAGACCAAGTCCATATTATGGCAAGAACAGCTCAAATAAGCAAAGAGAAACGACAGTCCATCATTACTTTAAGACATGAAGGTCAGTCAATCCGGAAAATGTCAAGAACTTTGAAGGTTTCTTCAAGTGCAGTCGCAAAAACCATCAAGCGCTATGATAAAACTGGCTCATGAGGACCACCACAGGAAAGGAAGACCCAGCGTTACCTCTGCTGCAGAGGATAAGTTCATTAGAGTTAACTGCACCTCATATTGCAGCCCAAATAAATGCTTCACAGAGTTCAAGTAACAGACACATCTCAACATCAACTGTTCAGAGGAGACTACGTGAGTCAGGCCTTCATGGTTGAATTGCTGCAAAGAAACCACTACTTAAGGACACCAATAAGAAGAAGACACTTGCTTGGCCCAAGAAACACGAGCAATGGACATTAGACCGGTGGAAATCTGAACTTTGGACTGAACAGTCCAAATGTGAGAGTTTTGGTTCCATCCGCCGTGTCTTTGTGAAACGCAGAGTAGGTGAACAGATGATCTCTGCATGTGTGGTTCCCACCGTGAAGCATGGAGGAGGAGGTGTGATGGTGTGGGGGTGCTTTGCTGGTGACACTGTCTGTGCTTTATTTAGAATTCAAGGCACACTTAACCAGCATGGCTACCACAGCATTCTGCAGCGATACACCATCTGGTTTGCGCTTAGTGGGACTATCGTTTGTTTTTCAACAGGACAATGACCCAAAACACACCTCCAGGCTGTGTAAGGGCTATTTGACCAAGAAGGAGAGTGATGGAGTGCTGCATCAGATGATCTGGCCTCCACAATCACCCGACCTCAACCCAATTGAGATGGTTTGGGATGAGTTGGACTGCAGAGTGAAAGAAAAGCAGCCAACAAGTGCTCAGCATATGTAGGAACTCCTTCAAGACTGTTGGAAAAGCATTCCTCATGAAGCTGGTTGAGAGAATGCCAAGAGTGTGCAAAGCTGTCATCAAGGCAAAGGGTGGCTACTTTGAAGAATCTAAGTAATTGGTAGCTTGGTAAACTATCTTTTCAGAGTAGCTTTCCCAATACTAGAGAGGGATAGGGAGAGAGAGAGAATTAAAGACTGCTAGTGAATTGACCTGTTGACCTTTACTGCAAACCTCACAAATTCTGTGACAAACATACTCACGCATTGCTGTTCTCCTTCTCTCTATTTAACTAGTCTACCCAGACCTCAAAACTGGCATAAATCAAACGCAATTTTAACATCCAAAATCTCCATAGATCTTGTAATTAATTATTCTATTTAGATCATAACTGTATGATGAGTTTATTGCTATATCACATGATTCCTTATTATACCAACACACCACAATAGCAATTAAAATATTTACCCTTCTTGTCAACTCATCTTGTCAAAAGAACAGCAGCTAATGCAATATCTCACATCCCCTAAAACTGAGAAATGACATTCCCAACACATGACACGCAATAGAAAAACACCATTGACTAACAATTTCTGTTTCAGGTCATCATTTCTTTCCCATCTCTTATTGCCAGATTGCTAAACTAGATCTATCCATACCTGAATCCTGGGCTGCTGATATGTCAGAATAATAATAATCCAAAGCCAAATGAAATATCTGCCGTTGACATAAACCAACAAGGGCAAGAAGAAACAAGTAATAGCTGGAAAGAGAGAGTGAGAAACAGAAAGAGAGAGAGAGGGGGAGAGAGAGATAGAGAAAGACAGTGAGAAATAGAGAGTGAGCAAGAACAGACACGCAATCTTTTTGACACAGTGCCTCAGTATGTTAGTAGCTAGCCTCTTCTTCAGGTGCACGTCTAAACGTGAGAGCTGAAAATCACTGAGAAGTTCCTGGAGGAAAGAGAGGCATAGAGAATATTGTAAAGCTGAGCTGGTTTGGGAATAGGTGAATCAGTAGTCATTCCTCAATGACTCCAGGCTTAAGGCTTGTGCAAATGTGCATGTCAATAGCTGTCCATGATTTATTCATCATACTAACATTCTGTTTTGCATAAATGTTTGCACATAGTGTATTGGATTTGCTGATGAAGTCCTTAAAGCTGCATTGTATGAGACAAGTAAATTGTTTAAAAAAAACAATAGACATAGAAATATTCTCAGATACATAACTAGCTTTAAAATTGTATTTGATTTGAGCTCAAAAGCGTTTTTAAGGAACTAAACACTTCAGTGATTATTGGAATATTAAATGATGAGGAGGTGATGTGGTCATTGATATGATTATTACTTATAGCACAACAAATAATACAGTAAGGAAGCGCCGAACATAACCGTAAGCCGTACTGCAATGATGGAAGAGCTGAAAGCATGCATCAGATCAGCTGTATGGGCTGACATACAGCATCAGACTGACCAGCGTCTTCCATGTTCTCGGCTAAAAGGTGGCGTTAACATGATGATGGGGAAAAACAATAAAACAAGTTGAAGACAATCTGTAGTCTAGCTGCAGCCATACAGTATAGTATACTTACGTCTTTACTTTTGCTTGTGATTGTTGCTATCATACTGAATGAGAATGGCCTGGAAGGTAACTCACCAGTGCAAAGGGACTGCAATCAAAGTTGGCCCTCAGAATCTCCTCTCTCCTTCTGTACTACGTGGCTGGGTGTTGACCAGGGCTTCAGTCCAGATAAGCCAGTACAGACACAGGCAGTCTTAACACTGTGCTCCTTGGCTTTAGGGACGCTGAAGAGAGCACTGTTTTTTTTTTCTTTTACTTCTTCTACCTCTCCACGCTTCCTCTCTACCCACCCACCCACTCACTCTCTCATACTCTCATTTCCACACGCACGCACACACACACACACACACACACACACACACACACACACACACACACACATTCAAGGCTGATTCAAGGCTGTCTCACCCCTGCAGACTCAGTGCCACCGGCTTCTGTGTAACCTGGAAGGAGAGCGCACTAACCTCAAATCTGAATTTTAAGTTGGCTATTATTTTCTCTACAGCTACAACATGCAAACAATGGACCAATATGCACAGTTACAACAATACAACCATTGAGTGGATAATATGTCAAATGTAAGAGCCATATTGCAAGCATTTTCTAATTTCATCACATTGTCTTGACAGTGCAAAAGTGAATAACAGTCACTGTGGGCGAAATGTCAGATGTTGTTTATGAAACTGTAGTGGAAATGAGCATTGATGTGATAGAAACTGCTGGGCAACAAACTGTATAACAGTGTTAATTTAATTATTTATTTAGTCTTTATTTAAACAGGTAAGTCATTGAGAACACATTATCTTTTCCAATAACTACCTGATATTTAACAACAATGTTGATTTAACACAGGCATCAGCCATCTTACTGTAGAAATGTATGGTACTTTCCTATTATGTGACGTTGATGTTGTTTTATCGCAGTGGATTAAGGGCATTTCAAGCAACAAGCTGGTCATAAATAACAAGATAAAAGGAAAATGAGAGTATTACAGTAAGTTTATGGAAGTGGAACTTTGACAAACAAAATCGAAGTAAAGGAAGGTCATAGTAACACATTGGAGGTATTTATATTGGAGGTACAAGTTGATCCAAATATGTGCCCAGTTAAGCACATTAAACTTAGTGCGGGTGAATGAGCTTGCTGTGATAATGCTTAATTATATAACGTACAGTGCATTCTGAATATATTCAGAGTCCTTGAATTTTTCCACATTTTGTTACATTACAGCCTTTTTCGAAAATGGATTAAATTGTTTTTTTCCCCTCATCAATCTACACACAATACCCCATAATGACAAAGCAAAAACAGGTTTTTAGAAATATGTACTAATTTATGTAAAAAATTAAAAACTGAAATATTACATTTACATAAGTATTCTGACCCTTTACTCAGTACTTTGTTGAAGCATCTTTGGCAGCGATTACAGCCTCTAGTCGTCTTGTGTATGAAGCTACAAGCTTGGCACACCTGTATTTGGGGAGTTTCTCCCATTTTTCTCTGCAGATCCTATCAAGCTCTGCCAGGTTGGATAGGGAGCGTCGCTGCACAGCTATTTTCAGGTCTCTCCAGAGATGTTATATCCGGTTCAAGTCCGGGCTCTGGCTGGGCCACTCAAGGACATTCATTGACT